CCGACCTCAAAAGTACGTGGAATTACGTCTATTTGCTATGTTTTATTGAAATATCCCCTAGTTCGCCACTATACAGGACTTGACACTGGAGATAATAATAATCGATTCTCACTACTCAAAGATATCGAGAGAAAGCGCCTTGCATTGGAGAAATAGCACAATCAACAATTAAAATAATTGCTCCTAAATTAAAGTTAGGCGCTATTTATAAAAATGAATCTTCATGCGTGAACAGCCACCCATAAAGGTGGATGATTTTTTTCAAAATAAAATGGGACCACCATGGCAATACCCCCTTTGCAACAAAAAAAGAATCATGAAAATCGGTTCACAAATACCGGAGTTATCGCGTAACATACATACAAAAAAAAAAATATACAGTCGAATTGAGAACCTCCTCCTTTTTTGAAGTCGGTTAAAAATTGAAATAATTGTTGTCCATTTCTGAACTATATGATGATATCGTTTGCTAATTAACCCGTCACGCATCCAACTGACATAAGTGTGTTCGTAACGATTTTAGTAAAAAACAATTTGTAATGTTTTATATATATTTTTTAATGTGATTGAAAACACAGCGCGTTAGAGGCACAGTGTGGCTTTTGTATGCTACGGTATCAAAAGCGTTAGGTAAACCGTGTATATGTAACGATTGTACACAGTTGCGTGAACAGTTCAAATAAGGAAATACAATTGGTTGTTGAACAGAAGCCCACAGCTCAGCTCGCTTTAGTAAATAATGGGATTTATGGAACTTACTGACATTGCCAAACACGTCTGCCAAGCGTAGCAGGAACTCGCATTTGCATATTTAGTTTGTTCAAAACAAATTCTCGAAAAAATATTGCAAGTAACAATAATTTAGATGACATATTTTTTACTTAAATTATGTTATTTTTGACGTAATACCAGACAATAATATAAACATAACTACGCCTTAAATATATACTATTTTATACAGTTTGGCATAAATCTTAATTTGCGATAATTCGCAAATCTCATTTCAATGAATTTCAGTGTACATAATTACATACATAATATTGCCCGTAGATATTTTATTATATAATTTCATATTATTTTATTGATATATGATAATTTGCTACAATTAATTTGAATTGCGCACTAAAAAATCAAAATTAAGTTATAATTCGACGTAACTTTAAGAAAAAGATAAGGTGAAATCAATTGAAAAAGTTTTAATTAATGACGCGCCTTGAAATTGAAAAAAAATGTAGAAATTTTCAGCTAAACGGTCTTTAATAAAGACTAAGTTAAAAAACTAAAGTAATTAAAAAAAATTACCTCAAATTCAGTCCAAACAGGATAACGAACTTTTAAATACAATTTAAAACAAACAATTTGAAGCACGAGGTTTTGACTAATTAATAATTACATTTACTCTGAATTAACAATAGGCATTGTCAGAATTTGCACTTGATTAATTTTTTTCACTAATCGACAACGTAAACAACAATTGCTTCAGGAAAGCTCCCGACGCGTGCTGAAAGCTCGACTACCTCAGTACGACTGACGCTGGGTTTCAAGCCACCGCGCTTTGTTAAAATGCCACTAAGGTTTCACTCGCTTTTAAGGGTTTACTTTTTAAGCCTCATTTTAAAGTCATCGGATTCTTAAAGCTTTGTTTATACTTAGGGACCTTACCGCAGTTTGAAAAAAATTCAGGGTTCTCTAGGGCCGAAGGATAATGAACCTTTGTTATTCTTGCCTCAAAATGTTTTATCAAATAAAAATCAATTTAAAATCTATTTAAAATCTGAATTTATTACATAAAAGTTTTAATTTTATGTAAATTTAGTTCAAAAAGTTTTCCTAAATTATTTCTTTTTTATTAGTTTTAAAATTATTTTTTACTTTTCCAACTGTGTTTAAACATTTCTTTTTGCGTGAGGTGCTCACCTATAATTAGTTACGCAATTAGACTAAGTTTTTGAAATGTATTACCTACTTGAAATATTGTAGTAACTGTTGGTGTAACTAATAAAAAAAATAAAAATAAAAATAAAGTATGTTTATATACTACATTACGAATGTCGTGTCAAGGAATACTTCGTTAATTCTTAACTTGCCTGTTTTCTTCCATATCCATTCAGTTATCCTCTTACTATATTATTTTCCTGTATCTTTCCTTTATAAGTATATAAGTTATATTACTTATATTGTTCGTAATCTATATTTTTTTTAGCAACACTCACAACCTCGCACTAGGGAAAACCTGTATCGCGGGAGCTATGGACACATATAGACAACCACAAATTACACCCAAACTAACGAGGGAAATAATTGTAGGCCATGTAAATATGTTTTCTGGCCCAGGAATTGTACTCGGAATTTCTACGTGGCAGATCAGCATGGGTGACACGTTCGGCCACGGGGGCATTTATGTACGTAGAGTATTTATTTATTCAACTTACTACTTTTTGTAGCGCCCATGTTGCATTTTCTATTCTATCCCACTTATTGCTTAAGTTTAGCTTTTGGTTTCGTTTATCTAATTGCGTATTAGATAAACGATAATATTAAGCATATTCATATTTATTGGAAGTTTCCTTTGACACAATGACATAGTTTTTTTTTGCTCAAGTTTGCATAGTTTTTTGTTGTTGCTCACAAGATTGTATCGATCGAAATTGGTACTAATTTATTAGAATACCAATTTCTAAAAAAATTCTTTACTTTACGACTTTTACTTGCACGAAAGGAGGTACATCGTCATCGTTATCATTATACAGTTCACTGTTGGACACGGGTCTCCTATAAGGAGGCTTGCCGGTTGGGGCCTTCACGCGTCATTACTTCATCGTGCATGTTTCATCACGATATTTTCCATTATCGTTTGGCGAAAGGTAAAACCATAGTTTATAGAAACGTAGCAGCACGGCATGTGTATGTGCACGCTCACCGCGCGCCTTACATGGACGCACACATTTGCATAATCTCGCAGTGCATTCTCGTTGCATAGCGCGTGTCGTCCCACGCGTCATTCGTTATATAATTGAAGAGTTTGCTCGATGTTTAAAAATTGTATCACAAGATGTAACAAACAAGATTGACTCAAAATCAGACTTGTTCAGCATTTAATTTCTATTTAATAATCATACCCCCAAATTATAAAAAAAGACTTGAAAAGTTCGGGGAATTACATCTATTTGCCAAGTTTTATTGAAAATCGCTTACTGGAAAGTGCGCGAAATCAGATTCATTCTTTAGAGTTGGAATATTTCCTTCAAATTTAAATAGGTACCCTCTTTCTAACGAATAAGAATTATCGAAATCGGTTCACAAATGGGAGTTAATGGGAGTCGCGTAAAATATATGTAAAAAAATTGAACTTAGAACCTCCTCTTGGTTTTTAAAGTCGGTTAAAAAGGTGGACGTGGGCGAGGCACATTGCGCGAATGGACGAGAGGCGCTGGACAAGGTGGTACTTGAGTGAAAACCCAGAGTGGACATCAGAGGGCTCGGCAGACCACTGAGGGCACAAGATCGCCAAGAGTGGACGAAGAGGGAAGAGGCCTGTATCCAAGAATGGATAAGAAAACGGCTGCCATGATGATGATGATGAATCCTACTCCCATAATCGAGATGCCGATCCACAATCCTAGTATAAAAATATCAATACATAAATACTGCATTTAACAAAAGTTATTTATTTATTTATATCAATATAGCACGAAAATACTGTGATGAACAAGTAATTTTTTTAAATTAAGTATATTACAACCTGTAAGTACAACTAAAGTAATGATGTAAGAACCCTAGCTAGGTAGGCATTGCTGCGCTGAACAGACGAGAGTTGCCCTACTTATCTCATTATAATATGATAATTATAGTATTACTGCTAAATCGATACTTCCAATGATCACTACGCCAACCACATTTTTTTTATCATTTTCTGTTATTTTTGTAAAAAGCCATATTTATTTACTAGTCCCCTCCCCGAATTTTGTAAAAAAGGAAACAAAAAACAAAATTCGGAAAAAAAAGCAAAAAAGGAATTTTGTGTAAAAAAAAGAAAAAAAAACAATATGAAAACAGAACAGGACCAAATATTAAGTTCCTAGGACGTATTGCAACATTCGCAAATGTACATCAACTTAGAAATTAAAGTCTTAGGTACATGCCGCGATATTGAGCCATGACTGCCGACATAACGTAAGTGACAATTTTACCTAAACAGCGATTTTTAATGCAAATGATATTTTAAAGTATATGGACAAGGAAGCGTTGACATTTCCCGTTAAAATTACATCAAATAGAAATTATAGCAAAAGTTTATTGTTAGCTCAACTATTTTTTATATTTTAATGTGACCGACAGAATCCATTTAGTATCAGTAGTGCTCCTTGTGAAAGCGTTCATCCAGGGAGTTATTCATACAGAGCCGGCACGAAGTAATGTGAGCATTCCTGTGTTCCGGTTATGAAGGTTAAGGGTGCTGGTGAAATTAAAGACACATGGGATTTGTCAACTTATGGCTCAGAGTGACGGACGCAGTGGCAGTGCCCCTCAGATCATTGTGATTTAAAGCACTAAGCGGTACTGCAACTGTTATGGATAGACGTGTCACTTACCACCAGGCGGGCAACTTGTTCGTCCCGTCACTTGTACTAAAAAAAAATAATTAAAAATATACTTATATACTTACACCACGAAAAACATATTTGCTAAAAAAATTTTCAAGTATGATGGCACACTTTGAATAGGTTTTTAAATGTTAGCAAATTTTAATTGCAAATTCACAAAAATGTTTTCCATCCAAAACGTTTCCACAAAATTCTAGACGTGAAAAAAATTTCGAATTTAGTTTAAACTCATCCAAAGTTTAAAGATGAAACGTAGGTATATTTTTTTAACTAGTAAACAAGTTTAGATCATTTATGTTTATGTTACGTTATTTATTTTCTTAACTTGATATTAGGGGAGAATCTAATAATTATAGTACACAAAAAGTTTTGAAATATTTTATTATTTAAAATCGAGCAAATATTGCAATAAATAAAAATTATGCAAGCGTATAAAAACTCTCATAAAAATTATTCATTGGCTAATCATTCTTAAATTACTATACAAACAAAACCTTAACCTATTATTACCTACTTTTTCTAATTAATGTAAATTGGTCCTTGTTATTAAGTAAAGTAGAATCAAAATGAAGTACTAGAATCAAAGTAATATCTCCAGAAAATGAATACGTATTTCTCAATAATTCAAGAATCCTTAAATAATAACAATAATTAACAGTTAAGCTTCATAGTGCCACTGTTGGGCAAAGGCCTTACATCATGAAGGGTTTGGATAGTAGTTCCCAAGTTAGCTCAATGCTTAACGAGAACTTTACACACGTCCTTGGATTGCTTTGCAGATGTGTGCAGGTTTCTTCACGGTGTTTACTTTAACCGAAAACTTATGGTAACCTTCTAATTATATTTCGCACATAAATTCCGAAAAATTCAAAGGTGCGAAATTCAAAGGCCTGGATCCGAAACCACGACCATCTGCTTGAGAGGCAGTAGGTCAAATCTATAATACTATGCTATCACGGCTTTTTTATGAACTTTTTGTTACGTAGTATAAATTTATGTGTTTATGCATATACCATATTTTATTTTTGTATAAAATTACAGTATTTGGAATTCCACAGTAATACATTTAAGTCATATAATACAACTACAATAGTGTTATCTAAAACAAGTAGTAATAAGATACCTAATGACATTTGGCTTATAATACAATTATTAGAATAAAACAATTCATTCTATTTGCAAACGTAAGGCTAAAGTGATATAAAAAAAGTAGAAACAAAAAATTTTACTATGGCATCTTATAGACAGCAGTCGATATATTTATTACCTATTCTTAAAGTGCTATGTTTATTATACAAAACAATCAAAGATATTTCTTTGATGTTTGTCGATAGCCTTATTCTTATCTCATTTAATTTTTCGCACAATGGTGATAAATTGGTAACCCAACTAATCGACTTTAGTACTCTTCTTAATTTCCAATAATTTCAAAGTATACAAACACCAGAACATAGCAGAAATGACATAGAAGATCTGTAATACGGTGCCGACTCCTGGACTAGTAACACTTCTTGTGAGAAAGGCGAGTGCCGAACAACGAAGGACTTCGAGTACCGGAGCGTGTTTGTTATTGTCGAACAACATTCCGATGATAGTAAGAGAAGCGATGATGTAGAGGACAAAGATTAGCACTGAGATTGGTGTCATGCCCTGAAACATAAAGATATAAACATCATTTCCCGTTATTTACGCGTTTTTAGCACGAGGAAAAAATTACATCGAATAAACATTGTACCGTCAGATACATCTTTCGATATGTAGGTAAATTGTACTATTATCAGCAAATTTGAAGCCTTGCCAGTCCCAAAACTGTTTTATTTGTAAGCGTAGATTGTAACTGAACACTTATTTGTGATATTTTTAAACGCCATTAGTTGACAAGAACAAATAAACTGTGGCCACTAATTGCCGTCGTTGCTGAAATTATAGGTACAATTACTTACAGGCTAAAAGATGTACCTAAAGGTACAATGTTTTTTGGTATATAAACCTGCATAGTTATTCGTAGTCGTTATTAATAGTACTTTGTAGTGTTGTGATAAAACTTTTACAAACAAATCGGTTGTAATTAACTTGTTTGTTCAGACATATTGCACCTTCAACTTAACCTACGAAATTAGCTTTATGCTAATTGAATAATTAATTTCCACGTAAGTACGTACAGTCGCCAACAATAATATTTATTCTTGATAACTATTTTTGTAGCATTATAATGGCCAATGTTCTGTTTTGAACTTTGTAATAGGTATTGTGTGTCTCTAACAGTACAAATAAATCTATATATCTACATCTATATCTCTCTAAAGTATTATTTTATCTTATCTGGTAAGCCTTACTTTTATCATAAATAAAACACAATGGGATAAATAACAATTGACGATTCAAGTTAAACAAGACGTCTTGACAGAAATATCAATAATAGAACAAATAAAGCACAGTCGGCTGAATTTATATGAATACCCGTAAATCCAATGAAGTTATCACCAAAAAATTTATCTAAACGTTCGTTTGTTGCGATGTTTTACCATATAAACTTCTGCCATTTATTATTTGTGAAAAATATGATTTGGTTTCGATAAATTTTACCCATATAGATCGAATTTTAATTTTGCTGAATGTTGACAACATTTTGATGCAGGCGACTGTACTCGTATTATAAAACTTATAGGATTAAAAGTTATTTACTGCTTTATATTTGCAAAATCAATGTTTTTGAATTCATTCTTGCATGATATCTAGTTAAAGTGTATTAGACGGTTTACAAAACATTAATAGTAAACGATAGTACCTATATCATTTCATTCTTTGTCAGATCTTATTGCCAAGAAAATGAGCTTTGCCACTGACCGTAAATCTAATATATTGAATCCAGAAAATGCTCCTATACGCTATACTGGGTCCAAGTAGAAAATTGCATTGTTGTAGCCAAGAAAATGAAGACTGAATTTCTTTGGATGTATGGTGCGATTGTGGTGCGACCACAACTCGAACTCAAAATTTTACATAATTATAGTATTATATTAAAATGTAGGTAGTTAGTAGAAGAAATAGTGTAGTAAAAAAAACATACAAAAAAACACCTTATACTTCTTCACCTACATGTACAGGGAACTATAGGTTTAGTAATATGCTACATACGCAAAATAGGCGCCTTGACGTCGAGTTGCGGACACCAGCCCGTTACACCACGTTTCAAGTAATATGTTACATGTTTTTTTTATTTTATAATTGTAAAAGACTGTTTGTTCCTCAATAAAAAGAAAAAAAAATACAAAATACTATGCGTGGCGTTAATTAGCTGAACAATACTTTATTATAAGTTTTTTCACTAAGTCTTTTGTACGGTATCCAATGTGGTTAACATTGGATACCGTACAAAAAACTTAGTGAAAAAACTTCTTTCTATCGTATCGATGGCATATTATATTATATTATCGCGGCCCAGAACTTAGCCACGCTGATCACGCCACAAGTGGCCGCCACGCTGAACTGTACATGGGATATCTTTGCCATCGTGGTGAAAGATTTGCCAAGTGGCGTGAGGCACTCGTCGATTGTTGCTCAGGGTACGTCAGACGTACTCCGTTCGCACTGTTAGGCGGCGGTGGGACCAGTCTTCAAAAAAACTCACAAAATTTTCTCAAAAAATATTTATTGGGCACTTTCGCTACTAACTTTTACAAAATGTGACCCACGGGATAACGGTACTAATGTCTCTGCTCCTAGTCAACGCGTGTTGCGCGAGTGGTGACTAACTGCCAGGCCACACGGCTGCATTAGGTTTTATTAGAAATGCTAAGCCAGCATAATATGCGGAAGAAAACCTGGTTTTAACTTATGCGTCATTGCGGGGCTTTTTTCGTGCACCCCCTTTAAAAAACATAATAAATAAATAATAAACATAATAAAACATAATAATAAACATAATTATGACTATAATTATTTTACGTTCACATGCCATGAGATAATAAATAAGCTTAAAACAGGAGTCAAAGAGCTCATTGTTGCTTCACAAGACTATAGAATAAACGAATGAAATATTCTTTATTGCACATCAAAAATAAGTAAGTATCATAGAATAAGCTAATGTACAAAGGGCGGCCTTATTGCTAAGTAGCGATTTCTTCTAGGCAACATTAAGATAGAAATTTAAGAGATGGAAAAGGTTCAAAATAAGTACTATAATTTCTTTTCTGGATTTGAAAGTAGAATTTTTTTTACAAATTAACGTAGTAAAATTACATAAAATGTCTGTGTACCGTACAAATATGAATCCATTGTTTTTTATTTCGTCGGGTTTTTTATTACAAATTATATTCCACTCGATTATGCCATCACAATTCACACGAGACCACAATTTCAAATAAGATTCAAGATCACAATTTAAAATAGACATAATAGGAGTTGTGTAGTTATAGGTGAACAGTTAACGTATTAAGCTACAGAGACAAAAACAAACAGTGATAGCCTAGATAGAAGATCAGTTGCTTCTCAACAGAGAAGATGAATGTTCGAATCTCTGTTTATAGTGACATGTTATTGTGACTTTAGTTTTTAAGTTAGGTATGTTAGTATAAAGCCGGATTTACATTTGTCTGACGTGTCGTGTCGTGATGCGTCAGAATGGTATCAGTTTCATATACACAGCACCAGCCGTCACGTCAGATTGCGACACACTAATATACTCCCGGACACATAATCCGAGCCACCTCGCATTTTTGTCGTAAAGGGCTGGAATACAAAAATATTGTTATCATCGAAGAAAAAGTTTTCCCCCGGTTTTGCAAATACAAATTCCCAACAACGACTTATGGAAAAGACGTTTAGTATACTAGTTTCAAATTTGCGTAATAATAGTTTTTGATCAATCAAACATTGTTTTAGCTTATGGCATTATACTGAAAATGCGTTGTGGCTCGAATTATGTGTCCGGAAGTGTATAAATCTAACACATTAAATATTGACCTACCAAGAAATGGACCTCGGGTCAAAAGGCCCATTTAGATGGAGAGAGTTTATCGTCTCGAAGATACGATTATCGAAAGAATATAAAGAACTTTCCTCGTCTAAACATTTGCGATTATCGACCGTCCACGTGAGCCACAATCGCCTCGCCTTTCAATATTGAACGTCTCCGTGTAAACAGAACTCGAAAGCAAAAATCGTATTTCGAGTATCTGTGCCAGCCGTTTCTACCACGAGTGCAGTGCGCGAGGGTGTTTTGATTATCACTGCTTTTCTAAGACAAGAATTAATGAAACGAGAACAAAAAAAAATTTGGATTAAGAAATGTTATAAAATTTGAAAAAAAAATGTATATTTCTCTACAATGCAATTAGGAGATTCTCGCACTCAAAATGATTCCAACCGATTTGTACGATAATGGTATGAACTTGAAAAAATGTCATACGAGATCGTGTTTAGACAAGTCGAAAACTAGTAAGCAAGAATCTCCTTACTACATATTTCTCCGTGTAAACAGTCGAGGAGGCGATTAAGTTGCTTGCGAATCTCGTATGACATAATCGTAGGCGAGATTTTAGTTCTTGCCTGAATGTAAACATTATGATACGATAATGTTATGGCGATTATTGCTTACGATAATCGCCTACGAGTTTTCGTCACGAAGCGTGCGAGAAACTCTCTCCATCTTAATGGGTCTTAAAACAAAAACCACGAAAAAAATGTCCGAAGTTAACCTATATAAACGTAGTGACATGTAACGAAATATAAACAATTAAAACATTTAATTTAAATTGCAACGTCATTGCAGTACTGCCTAATTTAGCTTGCAACAATTTAAGGGCCCAAAAATACCATATTTAGCTTCTACTGGAAACTTAACAAAATGCACCATATTTAGCTTCGACTGAAAATTACTTGAACACAAGAGTAAGAGAGCCTTTCTCGTAAATATTAATTAATTTTTATTATATATTATTATGTCGAATTTTGTACAAATTCACTTAAAGGTATAATAAATAGTTGGGCAGATACATACATACAAATATTACTACAAATGTAAAAATAAGCATATACTATAAGAAATGTACCGATATTCCAACTAAACGTAAACTCAAATATCCGTAATTCCGAAAACCGATTTATAATAAAACCGTTACACTTTCGAGTAAATTTGATGCTTACCACAAAGACAAAATAAGGTTTTGTTTTGTAATCTTCATAAAAAAATACATTTGACATTATGAAAATTCGAGCTAACGTTATTTCGGGCAAATATATGTTCTGACTTCTGATAGGTAATCCCAAGCCGTAAAATGAGTACAACAATATTTTGTTAGTTATTGCTAACGTATAATAAAAAAATCATTTTAAAAGTAGGATTAAAATCATACCGACTCTATAGTTATTTTGTTCTAAATATTTCAATCGCTTGTGGTTCGAACAATTGAAAATGACCAAGAAGTTTATATGACCTTCTTGAAACTGACGTAATGGGTCTCTTTTCATCTTTTGCGCATTCAATATGTAGAAAAAGGTCAGTTAGCTATTTGATTAAATTGTGTGCTTTTTTAAATTAAATAAATACCATAAAACTGTACAAAATAACACTTTTAAATGAGAACTATGATAACACAATATATTTGTTTAGTGAAAATATGATACAAAATCCTGTTTTTAAACTTAAC